TTTAAAAATGGCGGCTCCCCGCTTATGCAAATGAAGCCCGGGAAATTCAAATCCCGGGCTTCATTTGCAAGTGTGGTATGCCTACATTACCCTTCTAGTTCGAACTAGGAGGGTAGTGTAGACATACCCCAAGAGCTGGGGCTCTAAGAAACACACCAAATATCTTATACTCACTATAAAATCAGGAAAACTGACAACAGCCACGGGATCTTCTTTGTACTGGCAGGTTCTAGGACCCACATCACTTAAATGCCATGTTGGCTTGAACCGAAGTTACGAAATTTAAATATTAAGTGAAGAATATTTGTTACAAACCATGGCTTTGTGAAGCTGTGTTTGTTCCCATGAGCACGTATTGCCGCAGTATGGTAGCATGAGAATGTCATGAGAGTCTTTAGCTCCCCCAAAAACAATTACTGCATGAAGCAATCGCATTAATTTGGTGTATGTGACCCATGAACATCTAGATTCAAACTAGCAGGGGGCTAAAGGAACATTAAGGTTACAAGGATCCCCAAAATCTGGGATTTATATTTCAGTTCACCAAGGTGTGTCATGTGCGGGTTTTTTGTTCCTATGCCTCACCTTCTCCTAGCTCATGCAGGTCACAGGTCCATGTGCTCTTTTGTAAAGCAGCTGCTTTAATGGAGTTTGTGAGTCCAGCTACTGGGAGACCAAAACTACCAGCCCAATTTCAGAACTTCTGGGTGTGCCATGTAAGGGGAAGATTTTCAAAAGCACCCAAAGGATTTAGGAACACAAGGCAGTCAGAACAGAGCACAAGCAGAGGCTGCTTCTAAATCCATGAGGGGTTAGGTAATTCTCTTCTTGACAAGTCAGAATAATTGGCCTGTGTGATGACGCGTTGGGGTTTTCCCATCTCCTGCACCCCCAAAATGGCACGAACAGACTCCACCAGCCAGTAGAATAGAGGGAGTTTATTGCTTCTACAGGATACAGCACAACACAGATGTCATCTGGTTAGAGGAACTGGAGCTAAGAGGCCTCAATGCCCCCCCCTTTAAGATGGGGGGTGGCTGGGTCCTACCATCCCAGTCCCCCTCCCCAGCTCCTTCTCCCCTGCTTCCCAGACAGAAACTAACTACCTCTCTTCCAGACCGCCTCCCCCAGCCAGGGGCAGCATTCCACCTTCCTTTGTTCCTCTCCATGGGGGGTAGCTGGTCAGACAGGTTGAGAGACATAATGACTCATCCCCTGTCCTGCTGGGCCGTGGTACAGACAGCAGCCAGTGGGGGTTACCACAGTCCCAGCATAGAAACCAGCCAGGTACCCCCACTACGTCTCAGCCTGTTTCACAGCTGGGGAATTTTGGCCCAGAGAGATTGACTGACAAGACCAACCAAGGGTGCTGTAGCAGAGCTGGGACTTACCAGTCACCCATAGGTTCCATCCTGGGCTCTTACACCTGAGCCCATCTTTCCTCCCTAGTCACACAGCCTCTCTCGAAAGAGGGAATCTTCTGCTTCTTAAGGAGGCTGGTGGAGTAGACTGGGCAAAGACAGTTACCGCAGGGGGCTATTGTGCAGCACTGACCTATAGCAGCAGGGCCAGCACTAGGCACAGAGCAGCCACTGTGCAACAGGGACCCGTGGGAGCTCCCAGAGGCCTCGCTGTATGGAGGGGTCATGTTGCAGGGGGCACATTGGAGGACTTATGGAGGCTGTTGGGGAGGCTCCTCCCTTTGCCCAGCGCAGCCCTAAGGAGTGGGAGGAGCAGGGAACAGCCCAGGTTTGCTCAGGCTGCACCAAGACTCTGTGCAAAGGCCTCGTAGGACCCAGGGACAGACCCAGCAGCCTTACAGTTACCAACACTGACTGAACCTAGTCCTGATTTTGTTACCAATTCGACATAATGTAATTTCCTTAAAGTCTTCCTTAAAATCTCCAGGGTTGCTTGCATCGTCCCTGGGAGACTGAAACAGGTTCTGGGATACTCCAGGTGGATTGGCAACCTTAAGCAGCTGAGACCCTATTGCCCCTCCCCAGTGTGGCTGCAGTTTATCATGTGGGCGACCTGCCCTGGTCACAGGACAGCAGGTGCAAAGCAGCATGTGGCCCTGCAGGGCTAGCGCTAGGCACAGAGCAGCTGCTGTGTAACAGGGACCCATGTGAGCTCCCAGAGGCCTCGCTCTATGGAGGGGTCATGTTGCAGGGGGCACATTGGAGGACTTATGGAGGCTGTTGGGGAGGCTCCTCCCTTTGCCCAGCGCAGCCCTAAGGAGTGGGAGGAGCAGGGAACAGCCCAGGTTTGCTCAGGCTGCACCAAGACTCTGTGCAAAGGCCTCGTAGGACCCAGGGACAGACCCAGCAGCCTTACAGTTACCAACACTGACTGAACCTAGTCCTGATTTTGTTACCAATTCGACATAATGTAATTTCCTTAAAGTCTTCCTTAAAATCTCCAGGGTTGCTTGCATCGTCCCTGGGAGACTGAAACAGGTTCTGGGATACTCCAGGTGGATTGGCAACCTTAAGCAGCTGAGACCCTATTGCCCCTCCCCAGTGTGGCTGCAGTTTATCATGTGGGCGACCTACCCTGGTCACAGGACAGCAGGAGGCCTTGGCACCAGCTGTGTGCTCAGGAGAGGGTGGATGTGGGATGTGAGCGATGCCAGGGGCCGTGCTGACCTCTGACTTGGGGAAATGGCCCAGAGCCCAGCCCAGCTGGGGTCACTGAGGTGAGTTTGGCCCAGACTTTGTGCCCTGAGGGCGGGGCTGGGGGCACAGAGCCAGGCTCTGCTAACCAGGTTATGACAGAGCAATAGCCCGTTACCTGGGTGGGTCGGCTCCTCTGTTCCTCTGCTGCTGCTCCCGCCACCTGTGTGACAAGGGCAAAGAGATTCGCACCGTGTGGGAGAGACGCCTGAAGCCCCCTCAGGGACGCGCCTCCCAGCGACAGACCGAGCGGGGCAAAGAGATTTGCACCGTGTGGAAGAGACGCCTGAAGCCCCCTCAGGGACGCACCTCCCAGCGACAGAACAAGCAGTTCTGCTGGCCCCTGGGCCAGAGTCCCACCAGGTGTAAATCAGCATCACCCCCTGGAGTCACTGGGTCAGAGCCCAAGCAGGTATAAATTGGCTTCTCTCCATCAGGAGTCCACAGGGCTCTGCCAGCTCACACCAGTGGAGCAGCTGGTCCCTGGACTCTCTCGCTCTGAGTCTGATACTCAGTCTCCCCACGGCCGACCCAGCCAGGACGTCACTGTCCATTGAACAACCCAGCACCTCACTGATCCTGGCACCCTTGAACAACCCGGCACCTCACTGATCCTGCCACCTGGCACTGGGGTGGAGGCTCCGCCGGAGTGAAAATGCCCCAGGCAGCCTTGAGCTAAGACTTCCTTGCCCCCTATTCAGTTGCGCTTGTTTGTGGAGCTGAATGCGGGGAGACCCTGCTCCCTTCAGACAGCCTGCAGCATTCAGCTCACCTGGTGGACAGAGCGGGCCGTGCGACGGGCTGTGTGCGGGGGCGACATTCCCCAGCTGCCCTGAGCATGGGGCAGCACCAGGCCTAGGCCCTGCTCACGCCCAGTGTTCCCCCTGACTCCCTCAGACCTGCCAAGTGCCTCACACTCCACTGGCCTTTGGCAGCCCTGTCCCTCTTTTTGGAAGTTGGGGCCAGGGCATGAATTTCCCACATCGCATCTTGGAGTCTGAGAATGGCCCCAAACTATGAGTCAGGAGACCCTGCGCTCTTGGCCCAGCTCTTCCCGGCCGTGTTATCAACTTCTTTATGTTCTCCAGAGCCCCTGCTATCAGCCAGGAGAACACGTCCCTAAGGCAGTGGTGGGCAGCTTGTGGCTCACAGGCTGCATGTGGCCCAGCAGGTTGAGCCTCTGGCGGAACATTTTGTTTACATTGACCATCCGCAGGCACAATTCCCTGCAGCTCCCAGTGTCCACAGTTCACCCTTCCCAGCCAATGGGAGCTCGGGAAGTGGCAGCCAGCATGTCCCGGCAGCCTGCACTCTTCCTGCAATGGCTGGAAAGAGAGAACCACAGCCAATCACATCAGCATAACGTGTTATCGTCTGCAACTGGCTTACCCTAATGGGCCGCATGCAGCCTACAGGCCACTGGCTGCCAGCCCCTGCCCTGAAGTTAGGTGAGAGCTGCCTTTCACAGAGGGGTGCACAGGGTTGCGTGAGGCAGGGTTGGGAAAAGACGATAATACGGCAAGTCCCAGTCTCTTCCACTTTGCCTTTCAGAAGGAATGTGCCAGATTTCACCCCTTGGCTACACTTTCTCTAACGCCCCACAGTCTCCTCCCAGAGCCAGGAAGAGAAAACAGAATGTCTGGACCCAACATACAGCTGCTGTTTGGCTGAACATTGTGCGACCCACTGGGAAAGCAGGTGCCATTTCTCATTCTAGGGACTGATGCACATGGAGCATAACAACCTGCATTTCTGTCCATCACACCCATCACTCAGCCATCCACATCTGAACAATTGTACTTGCTCTGCCTTCACCCCCCTTACCAGTGACACTGAGGCTCTGGCCAGGGCTGAGCTGGGATCTGGTCACCTGGTTGTCGCTGTCCTTGACCTCATACCCACAGGAGTAATTCCCAGAGCTGTCTCCAGTCACAGTGTAGTTATAGTCGTAGGTGACATTCTCTTCCAGACCTGTCCCAGACAAAATCTCCCCATTCTTGCAGAAGACGATGCGGGTGGCTCGGGCCTGGGATATCACAGAGCATTTGAGCAGCACGAAGTCCCTCTGTCGAGCAGACGTCGGGCTCAACTGGAGAATAGGGGCAGGGAGAGCACCTGGGAAGGGGAATGGGTCAGAGGGGTCAATGGGACTTTCAGAGGCCCCTGTTTCATGGGGATCCCAGTTTGCCTGGGGAAGCTGGTTGCCATGGAAGCAGCTTACAGCTGCTAGGGGTACATTTGCACTGCAATCAGAAAAGCCCCTGCTGGTCCCTGCTTGGACAATGGGACTGTTCACATGTCGCAGGCCAGCCATAGGCCTCTGACTATAGTGTCCATGTGCTCTGCCTGCTCCAGGGCTGGGAGTCTGAGCAATGTCTCTGGAGCAGGCTGTTGTTTCAGCACAGTGGGGTAATGGGGGGATAGCGTCAGATCTGAGACTGTCATCTCTCTGTGAGCAGAGATCAGAGCCTCACGTAGGGGTACAGTATCTGGCGCGTTGGGGCCCTGATCCCTCAGAGCGGGGGATGGGGGCCACTGTAATAATGCTACAGGTTGAACCTCCTAAATCCAGGAGTCCCTGGTTCTGCAGCATCCGATGTCTGGCAGGATCACGGATGTTGCTGGACCAGAGAGCCCCAGGGCCGGGAATGCAAGCCGGTCGGGAGTCCAGCACCAGGGCACTCCACCATTGGGACTGGCAAGCCTCATCCCAGGAGCCCCCGCTGGGCACGGCACAGGCCCGGCGCGGCACAGTGGGGCAACAGTGCTGTCCTGGCCCAGCACAGCATGGCAGCCACAGAGCCCCAACCTGGCACAGCAGCAGTGGGGCAGACATGGAGCTCCGTGCCTGGGAAGCCCCATCTAGGTGAGACAGAAGCAGGGCAGCTGGGGAGCTGCATCCCCAGAGAACTCCATGCAGCTGGCAGAAGAGGGCCAGAGCCAAACAAAAGCCCTGTAGCAGCAGGGCTGGAGCAGAGCTGGAGGGAGGGGCGGTGTCCTGGGAAGCTTCTGGCAATGGACCTCCCTTGATCTTGCAAATTCCCTCATTCGGGAGAGGTCAGGTCCTGAGGATGCCAGTCCAGGGAGGTCCAACCGGTAATAATATTTAATAATAATCCTATAGTGGGAAGGCTTTTATCAATGCAAACCCCTCTGGCATGGGAAATAGGTGAGTGTGTGTGGGGACGGATGGACTCACCAGGAGCTGAGCAGATCTCCGGGCTGGAGGGATGCAGCTCTGGGAACAGAAAGGGGACGTGTGGTTAGTGCTGGAGACAAAATCTCCCCCTTTCCTAAAGTTCCTATTAGGGGACAAAAGCTGCCTCATTCACATTGTTTTTGACTGAGCTGGGTCTTCCCCCAACATAAAAGGCAGAGGTGACACTCGGTGTGTGAGAGATGTGGCTGCGATGGCTGAGTCCAGCCCTGCACCAGTCCCATGGGACAGGGCTCTGCCCTGAGTGAAACTTCCCCAAAGGGGCTTCTTCAATGGCTCAACCAGCTCAGCCAAATTCCTTGTACCACCCACACTTCAGCCTGGGGCCTGGGACTGGTGTCAGCTACAAGCCAGGAGACCCCTCCGCCCCCGTTCTAGGTCCAGCTCTTCCTGGCAGTGTGAGTAGCTCCACTCTGCATGTCACAGCCGCGAGCTCATGCCGCTATGGCATAGGTAAGAGCTGTCATTCACCCCTTGTATGGACACCAAAGGGCTGCACAAGGTCACTGGAGGCAGTGCTGGGAACAGAAGGGAGGTTTTCACACAGCCAACAGCAGTCAGATCTACTTTGTCGTGGGACCTTCAAGAGGGGATGTGCCAGATTTGTTGCTTGGCTTTGCTGCCTCTAATTCTGCTCCCAGTGTCAGGAAGAGAACCCAGGAGTCCTGGGAATCAGCATCCCACTGCAGACTCACTAACATTTGGGTGATCTACCAACAGACTGGGTATTGTGTCTTCATCTCAGAGCTGATGCAAATGGAGGATAACAACCTAATCCTTCTGCTCAACTGGGTTCTCTTTCTGCCAGAGCTTGGATGATTTACTCGCTTTGCTGTTCATGCCTCTTACCAGTGACACTGAGGTGCTTGGCAGAGCTGAGCTGGGATCTGCTCACCCGGTTGTCGCTGTCCTGGATCTCGTACCCGCAGGAGTAACTCCCGGAGCTGCCCATGGACACAGCATGGTCATAGTCGTAGGTGATCTTCTTCTCCAGACCTGTCTCAGACATAATCTCCTCCCCGTCCTTACAGAAGATGATGCGAGTGGCTGGGGCCTGGGACACCACAGAGCACTTGAGCCGCACAGAGTCTCCCTGCTGAGCAGACGTCTGGCTGAGGTAGAGAGTGGGGGCAAAGAGAGCACCTGGGAAGGGAAATGCACCAGAGGGGCCTTCAGTATCCCCTGCTTTATGAGTTTGCCATAGGAAGCCGGTTGCCATAGACATGCCATTAACTGCACATCTCTGCTTGCTCATGCCAGCTGAGTCAGTTTGCTGGTCCCGAGGTACAAGGCTGCATAGTAATCACAGGCCCACCGCAGGCATCTACCTGCAGTAAATTCACACTCAGCCTGCTCAGGAGAAGGAGGATCTGGAGCTGCTGTTGTTTCAGCAGAGCTGGGTGACAGGGACTAATGCCAGGTCTGAGACTGTCAGCTCTGCAGGGGCAGGGACCAGATCCTCACATAGGAGGTGCAGCACCTGGCACGATGGGCCCGAGATCCCTGAGAAAGGTATCGGGGGGCCACCATAATAACATTAATAAGACTTAATAATCTTCTGTATCTGGAAGCTTTTTCTACTACTACATATCCCTCTGGTGTGATAGTAGATAGAAGGCCGAGTGTCTGGGGACAGACCAGTGCTAGATCTACACACAAACTGAGTGAGCAACATTTTAGGGCCTCAGATTAGGAGGGGCCTCTAAATAAAGAAAACACTAGTTTTTATTTGCATTCTCGCCTTTGTACCAGTACAGATGCAAATATAAAAGTTGATGATTCCTATTTTCATTGTCCTATTTTTGTTAATGCAACAGGGCCTTCACCACATCTTAATTTGGCCCTGCGACAGACAGACGGATGGACTCACCGGGCGCTGAGCAGATCTCTTGACTTCTGGGACTCAGCGCTGGGAACAGAAAGGTGCCATGTGGTTAGTGCTGGAGAGAGAAATCTTCCCCTTTTCTGAGGTTCATCTTCAGGCACAAAACTGCCTCATTCACATAGACCTTGGTTAAGCTGGGGCTGTCCTCTCTGTAAGTGCTGCAGGCAGAGATGTTACCCCAGGGGTGTGTTTGGCCCAGAGTCCCTATGCAGCAAGTGGAGAGCTGGGTGGGCAGAGCCGGGTTTGGATTCTAGGGTCTGACCCTGGAGCCGTCTGAGTCCTCGACTCTGCTGCTCGCCTGCCTGTGCCAGGGGCACAAGGGGAATCTGGGCCCATCGCCGCCGCCAGGTGTCACTCAGTGTGTGAGACGTGGCTGCGATGGCTGAGCCCAGCCCTGCACCAGTCCCATGGGATAGGGCTGTGCCCTGGGTGGAACCTCCCCAGAGTGGCTCTGTGAGCACAGCCAAATGTCATGTACTTTATGGGTATTTGTCAGCCTTGTACCCCTGAGTACATGTGGTGTGTATGGGCGTGTGCTTTCCACACCGAGCCTGAGAGTGGTACTCAGCTATGAGCCAGGAAAGCTGTGCTCTAGGTCCAGCTTTTCCAGGGAGTGTGAGTAACTTCTCTCTGCAGGTCTTACATAAGAGCTGTCATTCACCCCTTGTATGGACACCAAAGGGCTGCACAAGGTCACTGGAGGCAGTGCTGGGATCAGAAGGAAGGTTTTCACACAACAAACTCCAGTCAAATCTACTTTAAGAGGGAATGTGCCAGATTTAGGTGCCTGACTTTGCTGCTTCTAATATCTATCACAGTCTGCTCCCAGCGCCTGGAAGAGAACCCAAGAGTCCTGGGAATCAACACCCCACTGCCGTCTTACTAGCATTGATGTGTCCCACCGACACAGTCATCCACACCAAGGGTGGAAAACATAAGGTCTGGGAGCTGGATGCAACCCCCAGCTTGCCTGGAACTGGACCCCGAGGCTCAGGGCTCACCCCCCAGTGTTGTAGAGACCGTGCTAGTGCTCCAGCTCCTCTGCCACAACCTGCAGGGCTGGAGCACACAAAATCTACTAGCTTAGGCCCGCCCCCCAAGGCTCTGGTGTGTGAGAGAACTGTGGGGAGCGTTCTTCTCTGTTGGATACCATGCCAGTGAGGGTTTTTCTTGGGCTTCTCACTTGTGTGCGGCCCCCAACTGATTTTAATGTGGGTCAGCAGCCCCTAACCTGAAAAAAGTTCCCCAGCCCTGATCTAAGGGCTGGTGCAAATGGAAGATAACAACCGAATTCTGCTCATCACCTTTGTCACTCAGCTATCTGCATCTGGATTCTCTGTCTGCCAGAGCTTGGATGATTTACTTGCTTTGCCATTCATGCCTCTTACCAGTGACACTGAGGTGCTTGGCAAGGCTGAGCTGGGATCTGGTCACCCACTTGTCGCTGTCCTGGATCTCGTATCCACAGGAGTAATTCCCAGAGCTGTCCATGGACACAGCATGGTCATAGTTGTAGGTGACCTTCTTCTCCAGACCTGTCTCAGACAAAATCTCCTCCCCGTCCTTACAGAAGACGACGCGGGTGGCTGGGGCCTGGGACACTACGGAGCACTTGAGCCGCACGGAGTCTCCCTGCTGAGCGGACATCTGGCTCAGGTAGAGTGTGGGAGCAGGGAGAGCACCTGGGAAGAGGAATGAGTCAGAGGGGTCAATGGAACAAAATACAGGACTATGTAGCACTTTAAAGACTAACAAGATGGTTTATTAGATGATGAGCTTTCATGGGCCAGACCCACTTCCTCAGATCAAATAGTGGAAGAAAATAGTCACAACCATATATACCAAAGGATACAATTTTAAAAAAATGAACACATATGAAAAGGACAAATCAAATTTCAGAACAGAAGAGGGATGCGGGGGTGGGGGGGTGGAAGGTAAACGTCTGTGAGCTAATGATATTAGAGGTGATAATTGGGGAAGCTATCTTTGTAATGGGTAAGATAAGTAGAGTCTTTGTTAAGACCCTGGCGTAAAGTGTCAAATTTTAGCATGAATAACAGTTCAGAGGATTCTCTTTCAAGTGCAGTTTTAAAAGGCTTTTGAAGCAGGATGCAGGTAATTAAGTCGTTGAGACAATGTCCTTTCTGGTTGAAATGGCAAGAAACTGTTTTTTCTTTGTGGTCCTGTCTAATATCTGTTTTGTGGGCATGGCTACATTTCTATCAGGGGTCAATGGGGCCTTCTGTGGCCCCTGTTTCATGACGCTCCCAGAAAGCAGTTTTCCAAAGGAAGCTGGTTGCCATGGAAGCATCTCACAGCTGCTAAGGGTCTGTCTCTGCTGTCATTAAAAGCCCTCTGCGTGCCCATGCCAGCTGAGTTGGGTTTGCTGGTCTCAAGCTACAGGGCTGCTTACACATCATAGCCCAGCTGGGGGCCTCTGCCTGCAGTAAAGTCACACTCTGCCTGCTCAGAGCTGTGGGATTTGCTCAACATCTCTGGAGCCAGTTGTTGTTTCAGCACTAGCGCATCTAGGGGCATCTAGTAATAATACTGATAATCAACTAGAGTTTGTCAGTCTGTCTGCCTGTCTGTCCAATAACTCCTAAACAGTAAGAGCTAGGGCCACCAACTTTGGTTTACAGCTTTCTTTTATCATAAATTAAAGCAACGTAAGGGTTAGGTTGCATCAGGAAATCAGGATATGCCTGGAGTGGGATTACTTTTCATTAAGGCAAACAGAAAAGAGACAGAATCACCTAATCAAGTACAGTCCTCACAACTGACATAACTGAGCAGCTGTTTAAAAACACTGAACCCAGATGAGACAGAAAAATAGGCTGACCCTGGAATGGGATTGCCTCTCAATAAACCTTGCAGAAAAGAGAGAAAATGGAGAAAGTTGAAGTAGTGCTCTGTTTTAACACAGTTAAATCCATGCTTTCGGTTTGAAAACGAGAAGAAAAGGTTACTGGAAACCAAATGGAGTGCAACCCTTTTCTGTTGAAATATAATGAATGATAAGAGGATGAAGAAAAATATATTCTTGTTGGAATTCCATTAAAAAATATTTTAAAAACAGAATGGAAAAATTTCAACAATCCCTTTTTTTAGAAATACAAAATAAAATTAACTTTATGAAAATAATATTATTTTTGAAAAATGCATTCATTTAAATAAAGCATGTACATTTTCCTTTTATTTAAAAAAACCACACCCCACCTTAATTGAGTTATGGACTTGGGCAATGCTGGGAAAATCTCCTACTGCTTCATAATTAAGTTCTGTAGCTGGAAAACTTTCCTGCTACTATAAATCTCTCTGGCATGATAGCTAGTTAGGGGGCTGAGTGTGTCTGGGGACAGACAGATGGACTCACCGGGAGCTGAGCAGATCTCCTTGCTGCTGGGACCCAGAGCTGAAAACAGAAAGGTGACCTGTGGTTAGTGCTGGAGATAAAATCACCCTCTTTTTCTGAGGTCCCTCTTCAGGGACAAAAACTGCCTGACTCGCTCAGACCTTGGTTGAGCTGGGTTCCCCCTGGTGGAAGTGCTGCAGGCAGATGAATTACCCCAGGGGTGTGTTTGACCCAGAGGGTACGTCTAAACTACATGGCTCCGTCGACGGAGCCATGTAGATTTGTTGTTTTGGCAAAGGCAAATGAAGTCGCAATTTAAATGATCATCCCACGAGGAATAACGGGGCTGCCGACAAAGGGCTTTGATGTCGGCAGGGGAGCGTCCAGACTAGCGTGCTGAGCGGACAAACAGCTGATCAGCTGTTTGTCAGCTCAGCGCGGCAGCCATGTAAATTTAAATGAAGCCGCGATCATTTAAATCGCGGCTTCATTTGCCTTTGCCTATGTGTCTAATCTACATGCCTCTGACGACAGAGGCATGTAGTCTAGACACAGCCAGAGTCTCTATGCAGCAAGGGGAGTGCGGGGGGGTGAGGGGGCAGAGCCAGGCTCAGAGCCCAGGAGCTGTCAGAGCTGTGGGGTCTGACTCCTCGGCTCTGCTGCTCACCTGCCTGTGCCAGGGGGACAAGGGGAATCTGGGCCCATTAGCATCGCCAGGTGACACTCGGTGTGTGAGAAACGCTGCTGCGATGGCTGAGCCCAGCCTTTTAGGGGTTCTTGAGAGAAGTCTGGGGGGTACATCAACACAACTGACACTTGGAGAAAACTGAATTGTTGTTTTTAGTTTGACAGCGCTTTATTATTTTTGTACTTTTTACACCCAAAAATGTAATTGTGCGCCCGGCTATGATTAAGTTGTTTAAACAAATGTGTTGCAATAGTAGAAAAACATATTGTGAGTATGAAAATTGTAGGTACTGGGGGTACTTACATTTTTTTTAAAGGGGGTACTTATAATTTTTTTTTAAAGGAGCACTTTATTAAAAAAAAAAAAGGTTGAGAAACACTGTTTTAGAGGGAATTTGTCAGATTTATTTGCTTGGCTATGCTGCCTCTAATTCTGCTTCCAGCACCTTGAAGAGAACCCAGGAATCCTAGGAATCAAATTCCCACTGCTGTCTCACTTACATTTATGTGATCCACCCCCAAAGTGGGTGTCATGTCTTCATCTAAGGGAGATGCAACTGGAGGGTAACAATCTAATTCTGTTCAACACTGCTGTCACTCAGCTGTCTGCATCTGGATTCTCTTTCTGCCAGAGCTTGGATGATTTACTCGCTTTGCCATTCATGCCTCTTACCGGTGACACTGAGGTGCTTGGCAGGGCTGAGCTGGGATCTATTCACCCGGTTGTCACTGTCCTGGATCTCGTACCCACAAGAGTAATTCCCAGAGCTGCCTCTGGACACGGCATGGTCATAGTTGTAGGTGATCTTCTTCTCCAGGCCTGTCTCAGACAAAATCTCCTCCCCGTCCTTACAGAAGAAGACGCGGGTGGCTGGGGACTGAGAGACCACGGAGCACTTGAGCCGCACGGAGTCTCCCTGCTGAGCAGATGTCTGGTTCAGGTACAGGGTGGGGGCAGGGAGAGCACCTGGGAAGGGAAATGGGTGGGAGAGGTGACCTTCTTCTCTAGATCTGTCTTGGAGAAAACCCCCTCCCAGTTCTTACAGAAGATGACACAGATGGCCGGGGTCTGGGAGATGACAGAGCACTGGAGCAGCACGGAGTCCTCCTTCTGGGCAGACATTTGGCTCTTGTAGAGGATGGGGGCTGGGAGGGATTTTGGGAAGGCAATAGGTCAGCTCTGTCATTGGGGTCACTGGTGGGTTCCCAGCTAGAGGGCACCTTGGGAGCAGGTTGCCAAAGGAAGTTCATTGCCACGGAAGTGAATTGTGACTGCTAATTGTCTGTCTACACTGCAGTTAAAGACAGGCGGCTAGGCTGTGCCAGCTGACTTAGGCTTCCAGAGTTTGGACTATGGGCTGTGTACATGACATAGGCTAGATGTGTGCATCTAATTGCCATGCAGATTAATTCTGCCTGCACAACCACTGTGGGGTGCATGTAATGTCTCTGGAGCAGGTTCTCCAGACTCCACAGCAATAATAATAACTTATCTTCTTCACCTGAAAGGGCGACAGACAAACTTACCAGGAGCTAAGCAGATCTTCTGGCTGCTGGGATTTATTACTGGAAAAAGAAAGGTGATGTGTGGTTAACATTGGAGATAAAATGTGCCTCTTTTCTAAGTCCCACTTCATTGCCAAAAGCTGCCTATAAATAGATAGCTGCCAAAAGCTGCCTATAAATAAATCTCTGATTCCTGTTTTGGTGAAGAAGCAAACCAGGCAGGACATCAGATCTGGGGTAAGGCAGATCCTTAGAGTACACAGACCTCAGCTGAGCTGGGATCACCTTTCCCTTCAGCTCCCTAGAGCAGCGACTCTTAACCTTCCCAAATTGCTCTACCCCTTTTAGGAGCCAGATTTGTTTCACCTCCCTTAAAGATGACTTGCTGACAAAATCAGATATGAAAACACAAATGTGTCACAGTTACATGATTCCTGATAGGTTAATTATTTTCCTCACTTTTATCATATCATTATAAAATAATTGAAATATGGATTGAAATATAAGTATTGTACTCTCATTTCAGTGTATACTGTATAGAGCAAAATAAACAAATCACTGTATGACGTTTTAGTCTGTACTGACTTTGTTAGAGCTTTTTACGCAGTCTGTTGGAAAACCAGGCCTATGGCTAGAGGAGTTGACATGTCCCCTGGAAGACCTATGTGTGCCTTCTAGGGATACACATATCTGTGTTAAGAAGCACTGCTCTAGAGGGCCAGATCCTCAGCACATGTAAACAGGTGCTGAAACCACTGGACCTTCGCTGATTTCCACCAGCTGTGGATGTGCCCCCATTGACGGCAATGGAGTGATGCTGATAAAGGAGCTGGCAATCTGCCCCAGTAGCACTCAGACCCACTGTTTACACTGGTTCCCATTTCTCTCCCACTAAAGAGGATTTGCCAACAGTCTGGGTCCAGGGCTGCTCTCGGTTCTGTTTCCCCCCAACCAGCTACTCATTAGCACAGGGGTCCCGGATACTCACCGGGCAGCAAAAGACACAGAGACAGGAGCATCAGGGTGGTGGAAGGGACCGATTAGGAATCGGATGGAAACAACACAGCAGTTTCAGCTCCTGACAGGGTCACAATCTGCAGTCGCTTCCCCCTCCCACTTGCCCCCCGTACCCTGTCTGACTTCAGGAGAAGGGACGCTCTTGTCTCTCGCTCTATTCTGATCTGCCCCTGTCTGCTCTCCAGGGCTGGCTGCTCCAGCCAGCTCCTCTCCCTGCTCCCAGCTCCTTCGATTCTGTAGGGCTCAGGTAGCAGAGGTGATGCAGCCTCTCTCTGACCTGCTCTGTCCCCTCCTCAGGTCTAATGTTCACCACTACTCCGTTTCCTGCCCTGGCTGCCCCCCTTCTATGCTCTGGCCGCAGCGTCTCTATTTAGGGCTGGAAGATTGAGAACTGAAAGAACCTGGTTTGCTTGTTTGCATCTAAACATATCACTGGGGAAACGCCGTCCATCCCATCTCGTTGCCTGGGGACCGAGACAGCCCCCTGGCTAAAGGCAGAGCTGAGCCTGGGTGAGAAGTCACAGAGTGACTGGTGGGGCCTGAGATACATGAGGAGCCTGAAACTTTTGCCTCCGTCCTGGTCTCTAGTCCCTGGTGGGAAGCATCCAATTTCCCCAGGAGAAAATCCACCCATTGGGGTTAAGATGGATATAAATGGGTCTGGGCCTCATGCTGACCCTCTGCACAAGAGTGAATTCTCCCCCTCATACACATTCACAAAACACCTACCCTAGGACAGCAGTGGATTCCCGACCTGTTTAGTCAACATCCTGCCCTGACTGACCCCCTCCCTCTTGCCCATTCAGGACAGCTGAGGAGTCTGCTGCCCCTGCTGAGAGATGGGCACCAAGGCCCAGTTGGACAAGGAAGAACAGAAGGTAACAGAGAACGAGCATCCAGAAGGGACTTCAGAGCCGGTGGGAGCTGGAATTTGGGTGACTAAGCAAGGGAGGAACAAGGGAAAATGTCCAAAGAGTCCTGAGAAAGAAAACAAGTCTTGTTAACAGGCCTTAACACGTCTGCAGGGACCCAAACAGCCAAGGGCCTCAAAGGAAATGTGTCTGGAGCACAGGGCAGAGCAGTTTTGCATAGTGGTAAATAAGTGGATTGCCCTGCGATGGTAGCTGGGCATGTTTCACCCCTCAGCTCTGCAGAGCAGTGGGATGGGGATGTTTCTGAAGAGCTCAGCTGAAGGTCAGAGGAGCACAGTTTAAGACTGGCTGTGATAAACAATGCCCAGAAGACGACAGAGTGAAAAGGGGTTAACTGTTTGTTTTGATATTTTTTAAAACCTTTTATGAAAAGAATTTTTCACATTTTGTCCCCATTTTCCCCATCTTTTCCAAAATGGAAAAAAGGGAGGGAGGAGAATTTTGAAATCTCTCCAAAAAGTGTTTTTTTAAAAAAAAGTTCATTTTTTTTTTTATTTTCCGTTTTTGTTTTCAGAAAACTTCAAAAAATCTTTTATTTTTTTCTGTGGAAAAATGGAAACTTTTTAAAAAAAAAGAAAATGTGTGACAAGAATCTCCATCCAGAGGTTTTGAAATCCCAGCTTGACAAAGCCTGGTTGGGATCATTTAGTTGGGACTGGACATGCTTTGGGCAGGGGGCTGGACTTGATGACCTCCTGAGGTCTCTTCTAGCACTGGGATTCTATGATTTTAAGAACTCTCACTTTTAAAGGCCATTTTTAGCTGTGGTAGCTCCAGCCCAGGGTGATCCAGGGGCTGTGGCTCAGGCTGAGCTGCTGGCACCCTTGGGTGGCAGCCAGACACTGCTTGTAATACAGACAATGCTGCCCAGATAAGGTTTGATCCAAAGCCCCTTAATGTAAACGGAAAGACTCTACTGACTTCACTGGCCTTAGGATCAGGTCCCATGTTTGAGGGTCAGTTCTCTTATGGCAGAGAAATGGCTCCGGGGCTTTCACTTGGAGTGGCCCCATCCCAGACTGGCTACAAGAACAGGAACAGGGAAAGTCTCCTACCTTAAGCTGGTTAAGGGGAAGTTGATGGCGGGATGATGAACTGTGCATAGTAGGATGTGAAGAAGGGGAACTCAGACATATCCCTCCTCTCTCCTTCCACCCACAGCTGCAAATGCAGGTATGTGGAGCAACTGCACAATGAGTTCTTCCTTCTTTGCAGATCCTGCAGCTGCCTCATTCACCCAGAACTGGAAAGAAGCAGAGAAAAAGCTCCACACAAACAAGAACTGTCTCTACACTAGAGATTGCAAGGAGTCAGATGCACAGAGCCTGCAATGAAGAGAGAAATCGATTGATAGATCCGTGGCTAAATAGATGGCTGTGTATGGGGATAGAGAGATAGATAACATGGTTAAGTACCGAGACCAAAATTTTCAAAAACAAATAGTGATTTTGGGGGCCCCATTTAAGACACCTTAAAGAGGCTGATTTCCAGCAGATGGAGGCTCAGCACAATCTGTCTGTATCACCCTTTCAGCTGTGTTATGTTGGGTTCCCAAAACCATTGGCCACTTTGGAAGGTTAGGCCAGTAGTGCTTGTACCAGTTATGTATGTCCTGAATCACAGTGTGAAACCAGCTGTAGGAGAGGGAGGGGCTGTGTCTCCACGATCCAGTCTGCCCTTGGCCCTCAGGGGAGATGCAACCCAGAGCGCTCAGAGCCAGCTGTGGCGGATGTCGTGAGAAAGCTCCACTGGCCCAATCACCCTGTGTGGACGCTAAGCGGCCAGGCCAGTTCTCAGCTGCCCCAGCAACACGGATCATTTCCTGTTGTGGCAACAGAGGCAGCTGTGGGCACCGCTCACCTGTTCCCAGAGCAGATGGACACTGGATTCAAACACCTGCCCCCATAGTGCATCACAGGAAGTTGTCTGATATCAGCTAAGGGCAGAGTTTATACTGCTCCAGTTACACCAGTGGAAGTCCCTGTCACACCTGGGTTCTGCCGTCACACCGTCTTTTTCTGATTTATCTTTTGTTATTTTGGAAGCAGTATAAACTATAAGGGATTTTTTTAAGAGTGAAGCTAATTAACCCTGGTAAAATTTTACCTAGGACTGTGGTGGATTCTCCATTACCAGCAATTTTTAAATGGAGCTTGGACGTGTTTTCTCAAAGAGATGCTCTAATTCAAACAGGAGTCATTTTGGGGCAGTTATCTGGCTCATGTTACATAGGAAGTCTGAGCTCAGATTAAATGAGCACAATGGTTGTTTCTGGCCTTAGAAGCTATGAATAACCCTAGGACTCTAACTGCACAATCAGACTGCTTCTATACAGCAGGGCTTCACTTGAAATAAGTTACTCAAATTGGGCTACATCAATTATATACGGTAGATTATTTTAAAATACCTTATTTTGAAATAGGGAGCGTTTACACATCACCAGAGGGGTAGCCGTGTTAGTCTGAATCTGCAAAAGCAGCGAGGAGTCCTGTGGCACCTTAGAGACTAACTGAAGTGTAGGAGCATAAGCTTTCGTGGGCAAAGACCCACTTCGTCAGATGCATGCACAGCACTTATTTCAAAATAGAGCACCCTTCCTCCAGCTTCCCTTATTCCTCGTACAATGAGGGTTACAGGAGTCAGAGTAAGAAGTCCTTCAGCTTGACAGTATTTCAACATTATTTCAAAGTAACTGCTTGTGTATAGATGTGGACTAAGTTATTTCAAAATAACACTAGTTATAATGTTGCTGTGTGGACGTACCGTAAGAATCCCCATGGGAGTTACACTAGAAAAGCCATAAGTGCATTGATTACACTGGGAAATTTCCTTGTGTATAGAGAAGTCCTGACATAAAATGTTATTCCCATCCATGCTCCCCCTCTTCTTCTGCATGCCCTGCAGTGGAGTAACTGAGCCCCTTGCTGTAATCAGTTGGTTTTATTCTCACACATGCTATGGTAGGATAGTAGTTCATTCTCATTCTCATTTCACATATAGGGAAACTGAGGCAAAGAGCAACGTTCTCTTTCCTCACAGTCCCCAGCCCTCCCAATATGGCCAGTATTGATCCTGCTTGGAAGCCAGAAACCCTATTTCAGCCACAGGTGGGGAGAGACTGAAGTGGATGGGACTAGAAAATAGATAAAATGTCAGGGATGGAAGCTGGAAAATCTCTGCTATGAGGTTTAATTGATCTCACAGAGCAACCCAACCCCTGTCACTTCTTGGTTAGATGCTGCCTCATTTCCTCCATCCTAAACCCCAGGACAGCCATGACAGAAATAGACCCATCTCCCCTGCCCTGTAGCACGTCTTGATGGAGCCAAATTCTTCAGGACTAGAGAGGGACTGTCTGCTGCTCAGAAGAGGGAAGGGAGACAAGAGTCAGTGCTGGGAGCTGTGGCTGATGCTTATCAGGACTCTGCACGCACAGTCTGGCTGCTCTGTGCAAAGGCACGAGGAGGGAACCACAAAACAAGGCACCAGCACCCTGAGCATCTGCAGAGTCTCCTGTGCAGACACCTCTCCTTCCACAACAGTGACCTCCCCAGGCCTGACCCCAAGTGAGCAGGTCTCATTTCTCACTTCTCAGCGAGGTGGGGTGTGTCATTCACTGTGATGACACAAATGCTCTCACAATGTTATTTTTGTTTTAAAAGGTTAACCTGCCTCCTTTTTCTTTTTCTTTCTTTCTCAAACACACGTGTGCTGCCCAGTGAATTAGCTGGTCCTTAACCACACAAGCATCTTGTGTGACATAGCTATGAACTTAGCATCCTGCAGGCAACATCTGTGTTTTCTTCTGTGCATTCCCTTGGGTGCCTGAACTCATCGGACTGAAGACAGCTCATGGGAAAGATACTCTGTTGGATGAAAAGATGGCCACTGAATTAGGGCTGAATCCTTGTATTCCACATGGTTGGATTTGAATCCCATCTTTGTTGCTAGCCATCCCATTCCCTTTAGCAAGTGGCCACTGTCTCTTTCCTTTTCAGGCCCTTGCTACCCTGGCATGTAGTACCATGACCAACATTGTTCTCTGCAGTGTTGGAGTTGTGCAGGTCCCAGGACAGCAGAGTTGTGTAGCTGAATGCAGGGCTGGCCTTACCATGAGGCAAACTGACGCGGCCACATCAGGTACCAGACTGTGGGGGGAGCCAGTAGACCCAGACTGTAAAAAATTGTGTCTGCTGCTGGTGCATATGTAGGCAGCAGAGCAGCACCCTGAGAGGAGTAGAACAGGAAGACAGCAGAACTGAGACCTTTCAAAGATTTGGCCCAAGTGGGCAGGCATGGGGTGTCATTTAAGCTCCTCACCTCATGTGCCAAAATGTTGTGGGCCAGCCCTGGCTGAAAACATCTCTCTCCCCAGAAGAAGTTGGTGCAATAGGAGGTTTGACCTCAATGGGATAATTAAACCCAGACACACCTGTAGCCTGAGCCTGGCAGCGCCAGGGCCAGATGGGCTCCAGGCCGGCTCCTAGAGCTGGGGAGTTTGCTCAGGGCCTCTCCAGCGCGGGCGCCTCAGCAGGCAGAGTGGCAGTCTCGGATTGGGGGCAGCTGTGTGATCGGCAGAGCTGAGCTGGGATCTGTTCCTCTGGCACCTGTCTGGTCCCCGCGCTCGCTCGGGCGTCTGGCCGTGGCTGGCCACAGCCAGCGTCACCCGCGTGTTGCATTGCAGGGCACAGGGACATCACTAGGGGAGCAAACACCCAGCAGCACTGTGGCCCTTTGCTCTGTGGGCTGGAGACTGACTGGAGCCTGGGGGAGCCCCTGCTGAGAGGGGCCGAACCCCCCCAGCCCTGGGTGCAGTGAATGTGGGGGATGGGGCAGA